GATGCAAAGGTGGAGGAGAAATTTCAGCTTTGGTGTGAATGGGGAAAAGAAGAGCAAAATAGTAGAGGGATCTGCAAAAAAGTCAGGTCTATGCTGTGTGAGGAAAGGAAGGAGAATCTGGCCAAGAAAGGATCGTTGATTTTAGATTTCAGGTTAGTTTCATGCAGCTTTTATACAAATTTTATTATGGACACAAGTCTGTTTAATAGACCATTCTTTCCTATTATTTTACTGCCATCATTATGGCTACCCTGCATGGGCAAGCCCTGGAGAAAATAGCAAGGGATGTAGAGACAGAGGAGAATGATTTTCAACTGGGAAAATATAATCATCCTCTTCTTTGAATATTTTTCCTCGGAGCTGCTTGTGCACCATTGTGTTACCATAAAGCTGTGCAGGACAAGAAGCGTTGGCAAAATAATGTGACTGCGGAGAAACAGCAAGGGAGAGTTCCACCAAAAATGATGGTCACCAGCTGTGCTGTAAGAAAACCCAAGGCATTTTCTTCTCTTACCTTTTCTGCTTTCATTATCACCAAGTTTACTTTTTCTGTTGGTTTAAAAAAAAAATAAATAGTCTAACATTACAAAACAGACCAGTCAGCCAAATGGTGTGGTCATTTTTTAGGCAAGAAGTTAAATCTTTTCCAACAGATTAAGTGTCCTAAATTTAAATAATAACTCCCTCTTCTCTCAAGATACCTATAAATGTGCATTGTTATTGTTTTTTCCTTTTCTGTGACTGCTCCTTTACCTCCTAGTTCTGGACAGAAGTAATAGTCAGTAATATTGAAAATATAACGAAAGAAAAGCCCAGTCCAGATTTCCAGTCTTGGTTCTGCAAACACAAGATATTGGTTTGCGTGCTTATCTGAACTGAAGCTTGGTTTGCAGCCTTGACGGTTTCCTTCCACCATCAGTCTCCTAACACAGAGCATCCTCACCTGCCAGCTATTTCCACAGTGATGGGATTGATTTTCTGCTTTCAAAACAACTGGGGAGAATGGAGAAATTATTTTAAACACTGGAATGGGAACGGGTATGCTGACAAGTGCATTGCAATCCTCAGGATAATGCAAACTAATGCTTAAGATCAGGCAACACAAAGCTAAAAAAAGAAAGGTCAGTGTGGCAACTTTGGGCAAACAGAAGAGACAAAGGAGCTTCAACAGACAGAGCTCTTGGGTCACCAGAACCTAGCATTGGTGGTGGTGCACATTTTCCTCCTCTCCAGTTTATCTATTTCAGATTAAACACAGATCAGCAGTGATCCATCCTGTTCCTTTTCTCTTCACGTATCCAGGGGAGATGATGCTGTGCTCCTAGTCCCTTTTCAATGTGTCAGCATCAAAACAATGACCGAGTGCCTCCCTATAAGGCTGAAACAGTGCGGCCACTCTCCTACCCTGCCTCAGATCTGCAGGGCTTACTCCTCTGAGAGGAGCTAGCACAGGGGCTATTGGACCCCCTCAGCTGTCACTCCCAGGCCCCTCAACATGCACAAAATGACTGCTGCAGTTTCCCCTGTTTAGTATCACTGCTTGTCACAGACTAAGGGGACTGAACTGGCAGTGACAAGAGGCTGCCTCAGCAAAGTGGTCTCTCCAGAGCTCAAGTGAGGCACATCGTGTGTCTGTGCTTCACAGTTTTCCTGGAACTCAACCCAGATCACAGTGTGCACACGGATCATCTGGTCATTTTCTTCTGAAGCCAAATTAGGCATAGATTAAATGTAACACTTTGTAACAGCTAAACAGGTGGGATTAGAGACATGAGCACCAAGGAGAGAAAGAGCACAAACATAGGCAAATGACTATACTTGTTTTTCAGGGGAAAAGGCAAAACACTGGGAAAACAAGAAGATTTAGACATTATCTACAAAAGCTAATCAAATGCAATATTAAAGAGCATGAGTTTGAACAAAATAATCAGGAAATCCAGATGTTACATTTTCAGCAACATACCTCCACCTGCTATGTTACACCTAGGGCAGGATTAATGTCATTTAACTTGAGGCATCACAACCAAGCTGGAGTACAGCCACCTTCAGTAATCAGTGAAGAGACACAGGATTATGCCACCAGCATTTCACTGCACCCTGAGGTGGGTGGGGTGAATTGTCTTCAGGTGGTGCCTCCTTCTTCACTGATCCTAAGGATGCCTAGACCTCCAGCTGGCAGGTAGCAAACTTCTAGATGTACGTTAACTGAGATGAAGCCAGCCCATGGTGCATATTATAAAACATTTCTGTATATATATACAGAGGAGAAAGAAAACTCAGGCATGAAATACTCTTTTTTTCTTTTTTTTTTTCTTTTTTTGCCTCCACTTTCATGTCTCAATTTACCAGCTTCACGGTATATTACAAAGCCCTTTTGTACACATGGACCAAAATTTCCCCTCAGACACCCTTATCAACCCTCATTGAAGGTGAAACAGAATTTCACACGTTGCTCCAGGGAAGGTGGTTTGACTGTGAGTTTTTATTGTATTAACCTCCAGAGAAGAGGGGCTTATCTGTCATACCAAGGCATTAATGGTTTATAGTGTTCTTTAGGTTTGCATTGGCATTACTCGATCACAAACGCACAGGGAGCATAACAAAGCTTTAAGTGCAGGTCTGAACCTGTGAAATGCTGAGCAAGTTCAATCACAGCTGACTGCTGTGGGTATTGAGGGGATGCTGAAAGAAGCAATCCATGCTTGCAGGATCAAACCCCAGCCATACAACTTATCTGCAAAGAGCATGACTAAGAGTCACTAAAAGCAAAGCCTCTGTCAAGGATCTCTCTGGAAAATAGATTGTTTAAGGACTTACCAGGCTAACTTCAGTATTTTTAATACAATATCAATGTATTTACTCTCTACCATATTTTAATTCAATTCATCAAACAAATATTATCCATTAAAGATTACACACCTGTGAATCAGAAGCTGTAAAGGTCAACCTTTTTCAATTTATGTTTAAAAGAAATCTTGGCCTTTCCTAAAACTACAGATCTTTGTATGTCACCTGCTTCTCCTGTCTGCAAAATGAAGAAAAAAAAAAAAGGAGAGTTTGATAAAACAGAGGTCTCCATTCATAAGGCTACCACCTTTGAGCTCCCTGGGGGCTGCATGCCCGCCAGAAAACTCTTCAGAAGCAAATCAGTGGGGTACACAGGGCAGTGACGGGAGATGCTGCCTTCCCAAGGAGACTAGAGACAGGTAGAAAGAAAATTCTTTGCGAAGTTCAATAGGCCAAATTCCTCTTTGAATTACACCAGCATAAATCTGACTTAATCCTGCCAAAGGCAATGGGGCTATGCTGTATTTACACTGCGGGAATCTGAAATCAGAATTTGGCCTGCCACGTTCAAAGTCACAGGGACCTTTTCCCAGTGCTTAGGAGGTCTGGCATCAGTAACACTTACGCTTATTCAAAGAGAATGTAAAATACCACTGCAAGTGTGAAATGCAGCACTCAAGTAGTGCTTCAGACCTGTTTTACACTACACTGGTAACTGTACAACACAGCAGGCAGGAGAGCATCAAGATGCAGCATTGATGCCTGACCATCCTCCAAGACAGAAAAGCTTCATTGCAGGTGGAATTGGGCAGAATGACTATCGCATATGCAACTATTCAAGTAGAGAGAGAAAAAAAATGCCTGTGATTACTTTATTCAATTACTACTTTAGTTCAAAGGCTGATACGAGAAAGTAACACTGCATATTAACTTGCATTTGGTAACTGAAGGGTTGGTCAAAATTGAGAAAATAACTTGTGATTTATTTGTTACCATCTACCCACCTACAATAACCTGCACTGGATTATTCATTTACAAGGTAAATAAAACAGAAAGTGCCTGGATTTCTCAGCCCACTAGATCTCTTTCTGAGGAACAGCTGCCACAGTGACAGGTTAAATTCACCCCCTGCATTCAATTAGACCTGATTCTGCCTAGTTCAATGTCTCACATTCACTGAAGAGTGACCTGTAAAAGAAAAAAGCTGTTGCCTTGTGTCCCTGGTTACTTCTTTGTATGTACAAAGTGTGGTTAAGAGGGTCTTCTCAATAAAGGGGGTGGCCCAAGTCTGCCTGGCACTGAGCCTGCAGGGAAAAGGGCACCCCACTTCTCTCAGATATTCCCACTGGCCCACAACAGCCCAGAGGCCACTGTTAGCCACACCAGCTGGCCAAATGCACACTCAGGCATGAATTGCTGGGTCTCCTGTTCCTTCCAGGGGGAAGGCTTGTATCAGGTCCAGCTGCACCCTATGGGGGCTCCCCTAAGCTGAGAGTTATCAGTTGGCCAAAGATGCTGCTCTCTCTGCACTTTGCCTGGTTCATAAACAGAGGTGGGAAGGCGTGTTTGTGTAGTAATTTCCCAGAAGACTGTCTGGGGCCTGGGAAAATAGTGAAATGTCAGTGATATAAAGGAATAAAGTAGTGCAGGGAGAACAAGGACTTGGGTAGACTGGTTCAGACTGGTTAGTTGCTTTAGCTAACACCTATTTAAGTTCAGGAGCTAATGAACACTTCTGAGAGAGGATGGCTTTACTAAAGATTCAATTATTTTCCAATTAAGATGTAAGTGGTGTATTAAACGTCCCACAATGTCCTCCAGCTACATGCAGGAAAAACCCAAGCTAGCATTCTTGGGTCTTCTAAGTTAACACAAAGGCAAAAATAAAACATTTTAAAAAAAAATCACAATTGTCAGGGGCTCTTTACCCTTCCTAAGGAAGAAGAGAAGGGCTGATTCTTTTTGCAGCTCTCTTCTACCTGCTCCTTTCCCTCCTCGGTTCTTCTGTTGCAGATAATTCCACATGATTAATAGGCTCTTCTCAGCGGTGCTACACACAGTTAGCTCTTTTAATCTCTGTTTGAATCTGAGACTCCCTAATCCCCCAACCCTTTGGCCTCATGAGACTACACCTGAGGATCACAGAGTAAGATATTTCTTTCTATTTTAAGTTTTTATCTGCAGGTCTGCGAAAGAAGGAAGCTTGAATTTACCTTATCTGCCATGATCATAGAGGAGCCTCCATGGATGCCCAGGATGGGAGTGAGGGTCTGGGCAGAGATGAAGTCCAGGATCTGGGCAATGGCTTCCTGGTCTGTGTCATCAGCAAATACCACCCCTTGAATCTTCCGGTCTGACATGAGGTCACAGATGCGGGTGATGATGCTCTTGGGATCTGTCTCATTCATGGCCACCAGCTCCACCCGAGGCACCACTGAGAGGTGGTGGAAGTCATCTTTCTCGTGGGCATCTTTGATGGCCACTTCGTCTGAGGTCCCCACCAGGATGACTGCAATGCCAATGCTCGGGTGGCTTTTCTGGGCCTGGGCCCCGCTCCCTGCTGTCACGAGGAATGCCAGCACCAGCCAAAACCTTGGAGAGTAGCACTCCACCCTGGGCCTCATCTTCGGCTCTTACACTCCCTGAGTGAGGAAGAAAAAAAGGAAAGGGGGAAAGTAAGAGAAAGGGAAAGTGATTAATTGACAAGTCAGTCTTGCACTCATCCTTCAAGGCAGATCCATTGATATTCCTCAGCCGCTAGCCCTCCTCCCACCAGTTCTCCTTGCCTTATGCCCAGCTCTTTGGCTACATTCAGGGCCCTGTTAAAGTCAGAGGGGCAGTCAGACCAGTACAGCCTCTACTTCAGAGTTTGGAGTCACTTCAGAAAACAGCTGTCAGCAGAAGTTGAGATCATGTCATCTCTCAGGTCCTATGTCACTCTGAGACCTAAGTCAAAAGTGATAGAGAATTGTGCTTTGATAGCTGGTCAGCTGTCTTCATGAAACTAATTGCTTATGTCAAGCCCATGTCTAAGTGCTCGCCCTCAACACAAAGGAATTACTGATGCTTGTAATCAGTTTGGCCTTCTGCTGGAGGTATAGAGCAGATAAGGACTCCCTTTTACTTTCTCAGCACAGCGTCTCCTGAATAAAGTGAAGACAAATGGGCAAGGCCATTGGATGTATATGTATGTGTGTATCCATTGCATACAATCTTCCTACCACCAGGACATACACAGCTCCCGCCTGTAGTAGAGTCAGCCACATGCCTTTCACCCATACAAGGTTCATTTCTTTTTAAAAAGCCAAGAATACAAAATTTCCCAGTGGTCATGGCCAAAACTGGATCAGTGTAGTGTGGGGAAGACAGTCCCTCCCAGCCCATATGACAGCAATTTTTGCTAGAAGCAGAAAGATCCACAGAGCATACAAAGGTTCACTCTCAGCTCCTACAGCCAGGGATGTTACACTGATCTTTTCCCTGAACATGTCCACTTTATTTTGTAATCATAACAGCAGAAATGGAAAAACCCAATGAGGTCATCTCTCTAGCCCCTGCCTGAGAGGAACTGTTCCCTGCAGGATTGTTCCTAGCTCTTTCTTTATTCAGTCTCATTTTAAGAATAGTTCACAGTTCCACAGCACTTCTCATCCTCAAGATACTTTGCAAACAGTAACAAATTAATCCTTGCAGCACCTGTGCAGTATAAATATCAGAACATCCCCTGATCTAGGGACAAAAACAGCAACATCCCCCTGCCTGCCCACTACCCCTGTGGGAGGCAGCACTGCTCTCTGTGCCCAGCCAGGGCCATGCTGCCATCCCAAGGAGATTTCAGTCATTTCAAACTAAAGAAGACTCCCTCAGTGCAAAAGGTCCTGCTCATTCATACCCATAACTCTGTTCTTCAGCAGCCAGGCACACTTCGAATAAATACACCAGCCCTGTGCTGCTTTGCATTACATCTCTGGTTTTAGGGGTCCAGAAAGTGGACCCTTCTATACTGCTAGCTGCAGCACATACCTCTGTCGAACCAACAGAAAGCCATGGTAACAGGAACAAGACTGGCAAGACTTTGGGTAAACTAGAAGTCCATCCAACAGCCTTACTTAGCACCAACCACCCCAAGGGATAGCGCGTAAGGGACCCCATTTTCACCTACCCAGGAGAACACATAGGCTTAGCACCTGCTCCCTCATTGTGATGCTAAGCAGAGAGAATGTATCCTGCATTGATATTACCAGATAAATAGTCAGATAATAACATGGATAATAAATATGCACCGGAGGAAACAAATCCACTTAGGAGGCTGAAAGGGACCACAGGCGTGAAGCGCCAATCGATTCTAAACTCTCTGACGGATCCACTTTCTGAGAGATGCTCACAAGGAGAACCAAGAGACTTTGAGAGTTTGGCGAAATGAACAGCTAACTTCATTCCAGCAGGACTGTTATCCTCCAATTACGAGTCACTAAATTAGATTCCTTCACAGTGAAATGCAGTCCCCACTCCTGCAATGCTTTATTAACTTTAATGCACTCTATACGCTCTCTGTCTCTCACTCTCTTGCTCACTCCCTTTAATGCTATATTTGTTCCCTTTAAAATATGTCTCCTGTGATCCCTCTGCATAGTCTCACACAGTATATTATGCTTGGTTAAGCAATGGCTAGCTGTGATGCCCAGGGAGCAGAGCGTATGTTTTCCCCAGCCCCTCTCCCACTAGGAATACTTTGCAGGACCTTTCAACCCAGGGCTCAGATAGCAGCAATACAGGAGCTGTGCAGGCAATCGTGGCAGCTGTCTACCTTCACACCCAAACACAGGCTTCTTCCACTGGGAAAAATACTGGCCAAGGAAACCCATTCCCTTCTTTTCACCTGCAACAAAGCCAATAAATCTCTAGTATCTACCTCCAACACAGCAGCAAAGAGCACAGATCCTGAAGAGCATTTAGGTGCCAGCCTGCTGGGTGTCTAGCTCATGGGATGTGTCCCCAAGGGAGATATTTCCATGCAACACAAGATGATGGAGCTCACTGTACAGTGCCAGATCCTCAGGCTTTGGCCAGATATGCAGGGAGCATACAGGGCCTGGAAGAGGCTGACGCAAAGAGGAGGTCATCAGTGCCTCCACAGCCAACCTGACATCTCCAATTTGGATCCTTAGCCATGAACTTGTTCGGGCAGAGCAATGCTTAGGCAGCCTGTGTTATACCACACAAGATACCCCTCTCTCCGTCTCTCACTCATATGTAACGCTTCTGTCATGCTCACGGTGTGTTTTAGGGGCTCCATGGGCAGTCTGCATGTCAGGGACCAGCATTCTTCTGAGGGAATAAGGAAGAACCAGGTCTAGACTGGGCTCCTGGTGGGATGGAACCCAGGACTGTGATAAAACAGGGGCAATCCAATAAATCACACACAACCCAGGCTTGGTGGCACCCAGTTAGCTAGGGGGTGGCCTCCCCCATTCAGCCCCAGCACACTCCCACAGAGCAGCAGCAGGTCCACAGCACACAGTTGAGCCACTCAAAGACAGCAAAAGGGGTGCTCACAGTGCTTATAATCCTTTCCCTGCTCTCCTTGGGGGTGACTTCTGTCCACAAGCAGCAGCCACCATCCACACATCTGCTCACATGCAAGTGCCAGCTGTTTAAGAAAGGGACAGACAACCCAGCACCAGCCCCACCTCTCTCCTCTCTTGGTCTGGATCAATACAAGCCCCTTTTCAATGTATGCTAGTAGAGGAAAGGCAGGGATGAACCAGCACAGACTTATTATTAGATTAAGGTGATCTCAGAACTATAATGAAAATGTGTTTTTGCATACAGAGCAGCAAGAATTATCCATTAATTTCTACACTGTTCAAATGCAAAAGTTTGAGGCACCCTATCAAAAAAGCGCTGGAGGTAGCGTGTGGACCTCCTCCCGAGAGGTGTTCTTGTTTCCAGTGAATATTTACAAATACACATGGAGAAATTCACAAGCACCTAACAAGGCTGCAGTTGTAAAACACAGCAGTTGTCCTTTGTTTCAGGTAACTTTAATATTGCTGAACTCTAGAATTTCACCAGTCAAGAATTATTTTAGAAACATGCCAGTATATTTTGTTACAAATTATTTTACATGAGAGGTTTTTTCCCATGGTGGTGGTGGTGTGGAGCAACACAATGTTTGGAGTGTTTTCTGTGCTTTTGCCACTCCAGAACAATTTAGCAAATCCCAAACTCCAGTCTGGCAAGTAAAATCCTTTACGCATTACTCCACACTATTATATTGTCCCTTATTCCCTGGAAAATAATATGTGACAAGGCCATTAGACAAAGTGGTTTTACAGAATATCTATATTTAGGTATAAACATGCCTGAAAAACCATTATACCTCTATAATCTCATTTTACTTACCAATAAAATATATCCACCATTGTAGGGGAATGCAGTATCTACTTAGTGCTGCAGAGCAATGTTACACAACCACAGTTAAAATGGGAGTGGAAACCTAACTTCTCAAATTGAAAATGCAAGAGGAATGTAGGTAGTCAGACAGTAATTATTCAGATTGGAATTTGGCCAGGACCAAAGGTTAGATTGCTTAAAAATATCATGAGAACCTTATTTGACACTGCATTTTTATGTGGATCAAATCTAAGATAAGTATTAATAGAAAACTATTAGGCTGCACAGGCGAAATACAGCTCAGCATTTAGAGATATTTCTGGACAATATTTCAAAATACAGAAAGTACACAAATAGGTCACTGTGCATTCAACCGGGCTAACTGTAAATAAAGTACTACTCAGGCAGTGTACAGCAAAGCTGGGCAATCTTCAGGTCAGATAAAGAAACTGAGGCAGAACATAGGCCAGTCCCAGGAGTCTGGGGGCAATTCTGTCATGTACCTCCTTCTGCTGCAATTGTGCCAGCTGGGCAGCCTTGCACAACAGCCCCTTGAGAGAGTCTTTGCAGGCTCCCAAAATGCCATAGCCAAGCTGAAGACAGCAAGAGGAAAGGAAGTCCTATAATACTGCAGTCCCAGACAAAACGTTGTCTTGAAGGCAGCTTTCCTAATTAGGAGGAAGACGATGCTTGGGACAGGAGGCTGAACAGCATGCACCAGCAAAGGGAACTTTGCAGGGATGTGTGCTCCATACTGGAGGAACAAGAGTTTCACATACCTCCAGCCTCCCTTTCCTGTACTCCCTGGAGGGCTAATTCATATCCCAGCGCCTCCTGAGCTCTGCCTACTGGGAGCTCAGAGGAGGTCCCAGCACCAGTTAAAGGACTTCAGGCCACAGAATCTGAATTCAACAGCTTATTTTGCATCTGCACCAACTGCAATGCAAATTCCCACTCCTACTCTCATCCCTGATCACTTGCCCAAATCCAGACCTCACCACTACCCTCAGTCCCACTACTACCTAGAGCCAGATGTCCTGCCAGCCCCAGTGTTAGCCATCAGTACTACTGTACCCTTCGGTATTTTCTCATCTTTGACAGCATTTTAATTCACACTAGCTTAATTTCTCAGCCAGTTTGAGCAGTATCAGACAATGAATCAAAAAGCAGCCCTCGTGTTTCAGGCCCTAGTTGGGGGGCAGGAAGAAATCCATCTCACTCTTCAAAGCTGAAAGGTGCTTTGTGCCTGGTA